GATTTGAGTTGCAAACTGAATTTTGGGCAATTACGAACGCTTAGACATCTCTGTACCATAGTGAAGATGGTCCTGCGTTTGGAGTTGGTTAACTTGTTTACTACAAAATATCCAGAGAGATCTTTGAACTTTCAGTTATAACACTTGCTTATATCCTCGGACCCAAGATGGCGCAGGAAGTAAGACGTTAACTCGCTAACTTGGCGATCCCTGTGTTTACCGGGAAAGGTCATCATGATTTTCTGGCGCCCGCACCCCCCCCCCCTTGATAGTGGTGCAGTTCATTTCATTTCACTCTCTTATATCCTAATGGACGAAAGTTTTATGTAAAAAAAAACCAGGCCCAAGAATTATCGATGTAATAAATATCTGAAGTGTCAGCTACAATGCATTGATTAGAAGATCTTTAATAACAAACCAACTTGATTAGCATAATAGATATTGGAAAATAATGATCACAAACGTTCCTTTGAGCGATCACCCATCACATTCTTCTCTGTTTTTATTCTATTTTGAATTAGCTATAATAGCCGCACTTAATAAAGTTTGATTCGATTTCATATTCTACTTTAAAGGGGTTATCCCATCTACACATGTTAGTAGAATTTAACGTAGACTATGCATATCTATGATCATAACATCTTGCCATTTGGTTTGTTTCGTGGGTATAAAGTATGTGTATTTTTTTTTTGGGGGGGGGGGGGGCGATTTCTTTTGTTTTAGTTTTGTTGTTTTAAAGTGGGGATGAAGCAAATATTTGCTACTCTAACGAATATTATATGGTTTATTCCAGTCGGACACATCCAAATACATACACTAAATAAATAATACAAATACATACACTAAATAAATAATACAAATACATACACTAAATAAATAATACAAATACATACACTAAATAAATAATACAAATACATACACTAAATAAATAATACAAGAGCAAAATCTTGATATAACTTAAACATACATTATGCAAGAGCTAAATCTGCCTATTGCAGTTAAATGGTGTGGTTTAGTTTTCCTGCTTATAAGGTCGCTTTTCAAACCTCTTGTGTTTTCTCCGGGTTTCTCTCGCTAAAAAAGAAGCTTGCGCGAAAACGAATTATTGACCCTATTACATCATAAGATACTGATCATAACGTCACGGATTTGCGCGTAGTAGTTCTGATCTTCTTAGTAACTATTAAATGTCTTTTCTGAATTCGTCAACCATGCAGATTGTGGGTAATAGGTTAAAAGAATATATTAATCCCGAATTGACCTAGTTTGTCCCGAGTGAACACTAAACAACCCCGCCCCCCCCCCTCTCTCTCTCTCTTTCTCTCTCCCTCTCTCTCTCTCTCTCTCTGTCCCCCACCCCACCTATCTCCCCCCCCTCTCTCTCTCTCTCTCTCTCTCTCTCTCTCTGCCGCAATGAGGAGATTATAACGAGTAAACATATTTGTACAAATTGGTTGTCCATGGAGACATTTCAATTATAGTTGGAGAAATGTATTTCTTCTGACCTAAGGCTTCTGGCCCTATTACGTCATAAGATACTGATCATTACGTCACGGATTTGCGCGTAGTAGTTCTGATGTTCTTGGTAACTATTAAATGTCTTTTCTGAATTCGTCAACGATGCAGAATGCGGCTAATCAGTTAAAAGAATGTTAAAAATAGTAGTTATACGCAGTTAAAAACAAAAGCTTTCTTTCTCTTCGCCCCTAACGTGTAACTCGAGGACTGTGAATAGATAAGTTCGCGGATAAGTTGTCACTTGTACGTAATTAAATTTACTAATTGGTGTCCTAAATTTAACGAAAGATTCCATTGTTGTGCTGTCTTTTACGTATGTATCAAGTTCATAGTGCGTTGTTAGTTGGGGAATTGACTCATATAAGGTGTACATAAGTCGTCCCGTTCCTAACTCTTCGTATTAATAAGTGCTGATCAAAAGAGACGAATTATCCGAGCATTAACAAGTTTTAAGCCCGTTGTCCAGCTGTGACCTGCCCAGTGGTCGCTAGTTCAATCACTGTCAGTCGTGTATTGATCTATCGATCCTGAGCACACGTTTTGATTTTTGTGTTGCTAATTTTTTTTTAGTGATTTTTTTTTTCCTTTGAGTCTTGGAAGTTGTGGGTTATATAGACAGTTGCTACTGCAGTCAACCAGTGAGTATATCATTGGTAAAGGTCTATAACGGATTTTACGTTTTGGTTACACTATACCTGAATCAGTAAGTGATTTTATTTTTATTAAATTTGACTTAATGTTTCGTTTATTTCACTGGAAATATTTACCATAAATTAAAAACCGCAGGGTGTGATTTACATAGGAAAGAAATTAGTAACGTATGTAAAATAAAACGAAATTTGGTTTAACGTCCTACTTTTCTGCACCAACCGTGATACTTAAGACGAGAGAGAGAGAGAGAGAGAGAGAGAGAGAGAGCTACGTAACTTGTCTTAAATTCTAATTAATATAGGCCCAAATAACCTATATAGTTGTATATTATTTATTGTCTACAGATAGTATAACATACCGCTTATATCTGATACACCTTTGTTATTTTTATTCGTTTAATTTTACAATGGGAATAATATGTTATTGCTGGAAGGTTTTCTATACCCTTTTAGATGATTATTCTTATTCGTGATCGTTTCTGTGAACTCGATCGTATATATATTTCAAATGTTTAAATATTTTGTAATTATTATTCACGCGCTCATTATGCATGTGTAGTCGTTCGGATGGGACGAAAAACCGAGGTCCCATGTACACATTGCCGTGCCCGTAAATAATCCTAGACAGCAGGAATTCGATATAAGAGTAGACCGTTGCGCCGCTGTCCGGGCAAAATTTCCATCATGGCACACTGTATGACGTATGTCGGTCTTGCTCAGCCCAGTCGGAGCAGAACAGTGGGACATAAAACACCATTACGTTTGAAGAGTCCAGGGAAAGACACGATCTAAGTCACATTTTTGTCTTTTCGCATAAAAGGCAAAACATACTTTTGGACGAGAATGCTTGACGCGAACAGAACAACGAGTGGGTTTAATTACAACTTCAAAATGATGTTTAATACGAATCATAATTACCAGTACAACAACTGACTGCCACTTTTCAGCCAAATTAAGGTCAAATAATGGGTACGATGGACGTATTTGTCCGGGTGGCCATTTCAGAAGGGCTTTGATTCGATGTGACTCCGATCGTTGTTACCTGAAATTGATTGTTCCACAGAAAGTTTATACAATTTGCTACCAAATGGCGCCATTAACTGGGGTTTGTTAAAAAAAAAAGTGACTTAGATCGTTCTTCCCCGGGGCTCTTCATTAAGTGTAAACCCGTGCACACAGTCGTGGGTGTTGAAATATACAATGATGTTTATAATCAGGGACCATACACATAATAGTGAAATTTCTGAGCTGTTATTATTCTCATTTATTCCGTTAAACAACAATTTAAAACATTAAAATGAAATGCACTATTATAATTATCACATATATTATTTCGATCAAACTTGCAAATGAGATAGGGATATTTAGTAGTAGAAGCATTTGTGGGTCATTTGAATTTTTTTCTCGGGAAAATAGCCAAATTTTCCACGGCTTAATTCACGCTAAAATGTACTCAGTTATTATTATTTAGTATTTAGTAAAGCCTTGGGGTGAATGGTTAACGCGTGCGCGTTAGATCAGAAAGTCTGTCATTGAGTCAAGTGGTGTGGTTTCGATTCCCTGCTTGTATGTGACAAGGAGTAGGATCGCCTTCCACTGCAACGAATTATTGAAATAAAATTGAACCATATGTTAGTCCCGAAATAACCTGGTTTACGTCGTGTGGGTGTTAAACCCCTTTTCTCACTCTCTTCGGGAAAATATCAAATTTTTTCATGTCTTAATCAACGCTAATATGTGTTCAAATTGATCACTTAACGTGTAATTAAGAAAACAACATGAAAATAGCAATGGTAGATAATCTACCTACTTGAATTCAATCAGATTACAAATATCCCGTTTATATCGCCTGAAGTGGTTGTCGAATGTTGACAGATTTGCAATATTAATTATATTATTTTATTATCTTGTAAATACTCTACGGATTTTGAAATTTGGAATCTTTGCTTACATGGTATTACAAAGCAAACCCGGCGTTTAGTAATTGACTAGCTACAGAACACAATTCTGTGAAACACAAGAATCCCAGTCGAATTATCGCCCAGCAATAAACAGTATTTTTTTTTTTTTTTTTTTTTTGCAGGGGGCGGGGATGGGGGGTGGGGGGTGATTTGAGTATATTTATTAAAGGTGTAATGTTTTGATTTGAGTTTATTTATTAAAGATGCATTAGATGTTTGATTTGTGTATATTTATTAAAGGTGTAATAATTGTTTTAATTTATGCATAGTTATGAAAGATGTAATAGCTGTTTTGATTTGGGTTTATTTATTAAAAATTTAATATATAGTTGGTGTAATTTCTGTATAATTTTCTAAAGATATTCTAAATTGGTTTAAAAGGTATAATTGTTGTTTTGATTTGTATGCATCTGTTAATGGTGTAATAGTTGTTTTGATTTGAGTTTATTTACCAAAGGTATTATAATTTGTTTTAAAAGGTATGATAGTTGTTTTATTTTGTGTATATTTATTAAAGATGTAATAGTTGTTTTGATTTCAATTTATTTATCAAAGGTATACCAATTTGTTTTAAAAGGTATAATGGTTGTTTTGATTTGTGTATATTTATTAAAGGTATTATAGTTGTTTTGGTTTGTATATATCTATTAATTGTGTAATAGTTGTTTTGATTTGAGTTTATTTATACTTTGTTTTAAAAGGTATAATATTTGTTTTGATTCGTGTATTTTTTTAAAAGGTGTAATAGTTGTTTTACTTTGAGTTTATTTATCAGAGGTATACCAATTTGTTTTTAAAGGTATAATGGTTGTTTTGATTTGTGTATATTTATTAAAGATGTAATAATTGTTTTTATTTGTGTATATTTCAGGATTAAGTCATTAAAGGTGAAAGGGGTGAGCAGGAGATAAGATGATGGATTTACAGCTTTTGGCCGCTACCTTGTTTACTCACCTTCTCTTCCTCCTCCAGAACACCATCACCGTCAATGGCTACAAGCCGATCGTGAAAACAGAAAAGGGATTGGTACAAGGATTTCGAATGACTACTAACGGCAAAGATCTTGACGCTTTTTTCGGTATTCCATACGCTAAACCTCCACTCGGTGGCATGCGGTTTAAGCCACCTATACCCGTCGATCCGTGGGACGGAATACTAAACGCCACCGTCAAGCCAAAGTGCTGTATGCAAGGGTATGATCAGGTTTTTGGTAATTTTTCTGGTGCTTGGGTATGGAACCCAAACACGCAACCCAGCGAAGACTGTTTATATTTGAATGTGTGGGTGCCAAAAACGAATCCACCGTACGAAAATAAAGCTGTGATGGTGTGGATTTATGGCGGCTCGTTCTATAGTGGTAGCGCTGCTCTGGATATTTACGACAGTCAGCACCTGGCAACGGAGAACGATGTTATTGTCGTTGCTATGCAGTACAGAGTGGGAGCTTTAGGGTTTCTAGCCATGGGCCATCATGAGGCCCCAGGAAATGCCGGAATGTTTGACCAAAGATTAGCATTAGAATGGGTACAAAGAAACATTCATCATTTTGGCGGGAGTTCGAGGAATGTGACATTATTCGGTGAAAGTGCTGGGGCAGTCAGTATTGGATTGCATATGGTTTCTCCGATAAGTCGAGGACTTTTTGATCGTGCAATTTTGCAAAGTGGTGCACCACACAATGAATGGGGAACAGTACCCACTGACGAAGGTATACGACGTGGGCGACTGCTGGCTGGATTTATGGATTGTGATAGTAAAGCGGAGGCTAGTGACGTAATTGAGTGTTTACGTAATGTTCCAGCTGAACATTTTCAGAGGCACGAATTCAGTGTCGCGAAAGGTATTATACAGTTTCCATTTGTTCCCGTCGTGGATGGCAACTTTCTTGTGGAAACACCAGCTGAGTCGTTAATCAGAGGAAATTTTAAAAGATGTCCCCTTCTATTAGGTAGCAATTCCAACGAAGGGATCTGGTTCTTATTTTACGAAATTCAAGAATTTTTCACATTAGAATCCACCGGACTGCTTACTAGCGAGCAGTTCAAAGCGGTATTGTCGCGGTTGTTTGAATTCTATCCGCAATATCCACATAAACAAAATGATTTTGGAATGGATGCCATTATTTTCCAATACACCAATTGGTTAGATCCCAAAGACCAATACAAAAATAGACTGCAGTCTGAACAGTCAGTGGGCGACTGTCATTTTGTGTGTTTTGTGCAAGAAACAGCTAGTATTTACGCGCGCGCGGGAATGAATGTGTATAGTTATCTATTTGACCATCGGTCAAGCGTGTCACCGTGGCCGGAGTGGACCGGGGTCATGCATGGTGATGAAATTGCGTTTATATTTGGTGAACCTTTAAATGCTAATTTCAAATATCTAGCACGAGAAAGGGATCTAAGTAGAAAAATGATGAGATACTGGTCAAATTTTGCTAAAACTGGGTAAGTATGAACTGTTATGTTACGATAAGAATCTTTGATAGGCACCTAGTAACTGTATAGAGCAGTAAACTGTAACACATACTTATGCAAGCTACTAATTTTGAGAGACTTTGAGAGACCACTCTTCGAAAAATCGTCGAAATGAATTAGTGTACTTACGGAAAACAGCTACTAATTTATTAGGTCGATAACGTTGAATAGGGGGTTGGATGGCGGAATGGTTAGCGCGTGTGCGTTTTATCATAAGGTATGACCGTATGTCCAACCTCGTGGGTTTTCTCAGGTTCCTTCGGTTTCTTCCCACTGCTAAAGACCCCTACGCGCAAGCGAATAATTGAAAAAAATTGAACCATATGTTAGTCCCGAAATGACCTAGTTTGTGTCGGGTGGACGTTAAACCCCACCTCTGGGAGAACCCTCTTCGAAACGTTGCCCAAATAAATTAGTAGCTGTACACGTTTTATAGTCTATTACTAGGTTACAAGTTATTTAATATACGCCCTCATTGACGGTCGTATTTTGTCACCTGTGTCCGTCACCCGTCTTCAGTTTCTTCTGAACACTCTTAAATTGAAAACAAAGCAGTAGTTATATCAGGGTCCCGACCGAGGGCTACAAGAGAACCCGGGGCCACGACCTTAGAGTGACGGGGAAAATAACAGTTAAAATCACACGGTAATTTATTAATGAGACATCGGTGATTAATGAAGTGGCGAAAGGAAGGAGGACATCGATTGTTATTTCAAAACACGAAAAACACTTCATTGGTCTAGAGCGTAGCAATGCATTGTCATATTGTTTGTAGTATCCTAAAGATGCGTTATGTAAGATTTAAATAAAGAGCTGACAGATCTCGCTATACTTGTTAAAATATAGATAATAAAAGGGGATTATGTTGAAAACGTCAGTCAAATTACTTCATTCTGAGCGGACTTATCGTCGCTTGAAGAAGAGTGTAGTCTCGATCGTCATTGCTGCTGTTATTACGATAATAAACAAAGTATCTACTTTCCATTGTTAAATTAAATCATTAACTGCCAATCGTATTTAAATCTGATGGCATGTAAATAAATATATGCCCGATTAATGATTTATATAACATTTAAGGCCAAACGAAAGATCTGCATTAGTAAGATTTAATTCTTGAATAATGTATCCTTAAAAAAATATTCGTACTAGTAGGCATTGTTCAGTAGGTCACGGTATTGCCATTGCCAAAATTTCGTCAGACACACTTTAATATAATCTTATAAACAGGACAGAACTGGCGACGGAATTTGATAAAACTTGCAGCAACGGGGTATGCGTTTCGCTCAATCGCTGACTTAACATTTTCCTCCATCTTCATATTTTGACTTAAAGCACGTGAATGCGACACAGAAATAAATTCCCAAACTTGATAGGATTGTTTATTGGTGTTTGTGTGATCTGATGCACGCGTTTTATACCATGGTGTGGTTTCGATCCCAAGCTTGACTCGACAAGGAAGTTCGCCTGCCAAACATCGTGGATTTTCTCCGGGCTCTCTAGTTTCCTATCACTGCTTAGGTCTGGGAATGCTTTGTGAACTCTAATATGAATGTAGTAGAAACAAAAATCTTGTTTGTTTTGACAGACCAATTTTGAAGAAACTGAATCTTCTTGAATCATTGTCAAATCATGCAGGTGGTACCCCATAATAGAAAATCTTTAAGGCAGTCAATATCCTAGCTGAGTTTATGCTTTAGGTTAAAATACCCCAATGAGGAAATTAAAGGGACATTTTTCAGTATGTAACAGATTGGAATGGAACTTTCTCTCTTGAGTTGGATAAATACTGGTTACGTCATTGCTAGATAAAACCACCTTGTTTGCTGTTTCAGACGGGTGTGGGGATTTAACTTGAAATAGTTCAGTACATTTTTTTATGTGTCTGAGAAATTCATTTCAAACTTTGGCACCCATTATTGAAAATAAACTCGCCCATATTCGTTCACCGAACGAAAGTTACCCAGACCAGTGGTGTATACATGAAACATTTCCACAATTAATTTAGGTCTTTATGGTTACGGTTTCAGTTTGGAAGATTGAGCGGAAGTGGGTTTGTTTATTAATTTACTTCTTTGTCTCGCTTAAGCAGTTGTACATTGTATCTCGCCACACCATCTTAATATTTTGAACAAAATCACCTTGTCAATCAAATCAGCTCAAAATCCTACCGAATCGACAATTGTATTTGTAACCGATGACAGAGGTAGGGTACCATTTTAAGATTTAACACAAGGTCCTGTTAGTACCAAGGGCTAGTATGGATTGTCTTTAACTGGAACAACAGATCAAAAGATTTTAATATTTTAACAAATTTAACCCACTGATATGCGATCATTCCTTTCCCTTTTTAATATCTGACATTTTATGTTTCAGCGATCCTAATCGGGGTCCTGGTGAAATGAGTTTAAACGAGTGGCCGCCTTTTCTCCCTCAAACTCAGGATTATCTTGTTCTCTCTACGAAATATCTTCACACAGCTGACAGATCACAGGCCGTAAGATCGGGATATAAAGCACACGAATGTGCGTTCTGGCGCAATTATCTACCTCATCTCGTTGCAGGAACAGGTAAGCCTTCTTTACATTTCAAGATGACGACCTAAAACTATATAGGGGTGGATATATGACACGATTGACTCAGACAATATCGTGTTGGCGTTGTTTATTGTCAGCCCTTTGGGGAAGGGGAGTAAAGGGGGGGGGGGTCAGGTTGGTTGGGGAGGAGAACAGGTCGGTTGGGGATGTCATTTCCATACGGAAAACTCGGGAACACCATGCCAACTGTTTGGTAACAATCTCCCACTTCCTTTCGAAAGTTAATCAAATTTCGCGTTTGACACCGACAAGATCAAAATGGGAAACTCCTTTTGAACTTCTACTGGATAAATTACTCTACTTCCGGTCTGCAGCCTATCAAATTTAGGATTTGACTATGGCACTAATGCGATGAAATAACTGGATTATTACCGATGGGATGATCACGATGGGAAACTCCTTTTATACCTCTACTGGATAAAGTACCCTGGCCCCCATGATACATTCACGCCTCATAGCTTATTTTAGCCCGTAACCTCAATAGCTTGAGTCAGTTGGGTGATTGGGGCAATAACTACACAGTAATTAAAACTTAATGTCTGTATGTGTGTGCATGGTATGGAGTTACGTTCCTTTAAAGATGACGTTCCAAGCAAATGCTCTTCTTCGCATTTATTTTCATGTAAAAACTCTTATGATTCTGTAATTAAGTACATCCAAGTTTTAATAAAACTTCATGAAGAATGGGTTGTCTTGAAACAAATAAATGGTAGAAGTGGTATTACTTTATTTGTCTAAGACACAATAGGAATCTTTAAGTACCCATAACTTTAGAATTGATCGATTTGAATAATTTGTTGACCAATATGTTTTCTAACACGAGTAATATTGGTTGTTGCATATAGTCTGTAATCCTATATTAAACCTTTATTGGCCTGTTGGTGCTTCAATGCCACATCATGTGGCGGCTGTCATACTGTAGTCTATATCGTGAGGAGTGGGGTTAACCGACATGCTATGGGTGCAAGAAATAACAAATAAAGTCTCATGGGAGGGTAGCACAATTTGATGAAAAACTTAAAACATCTGTTAGTTAGCATGTCCCTGTGTTTTATATTAAATTGAACATAGTTTCTAACATAATTAGCATTTACTGTTGCACGAAGTTGTCTGTTAGTTCTTTCCCTTATCCCTCAAATAATGTCTTATTGCAATCCCAGTACGGCATAGTCTGGATTTAATGACGCGTCTCCTGAAATACTATTTAAAGCATTGGATTATAGCAGGCAGTTGAAATGTTAAAGCAGGGGAGTTTAAATGAAATAGTTTTCTATTTTGGTAAAATCAAAGAGGTTCTGGTACTTAAAGGAGAAGTTTCCTCTTTTTCTATAACTGCTGAAGTACGTCAATTTTAGAAAACAAAATAAAAGAACAGTCATTAGAAAAATTAATGGCATTAGAACCTCCGACTCAGGGTCCAGAAAAGCTCCAAAGTTAACGTCATTAGAACTTCAGAGCCAGAGTTCCATTAGATCCTTAAGGGTCGGAAAGAGTTCAAAGATTACCGTCATTAGATCTTTAAAACAGTTTCAAAACAGTTCCCAAGTTAATGTCATTAGAACCTTTCTTTGAGATTATTGATTCTTACCATGCTATGAATTTTGTTACCAGTCCATATGATATCAGAAACCCATGATTACATATCGTATAATGTATAATTATTGATAATCAGGGTATATACTGGTCAATAAATATTAATCATTGTCACATTATTATATACTTATACCAAAATCACATAATAATTGGGTTAATCCCGTAATCCGGCTTAATCTGCTTGCCTTCTACTAATCCATATTGATGATTTGCTTGCTATCCTTCATCAGTATATTATGGAATTATATCCTCTTAGTCTAGCTTTATATACTCTATAATTTGACTAGATATCATGCTCACTGTCCGTGACACGTCGCGTCAATTTTGTTATGTCACAGATGCTGGATGTAAAACATATGTATTATTACATGTACTGTACTGTGATATTACGCGCAAGGCCCTGATTGGAAAGAGCATCCAGTCTTTCGGGTGGAACGGAAAACCGAATTGAACACATCGCAAGAAACCGGAGTCAGACGAGTTGCTATTCGCAAACTCGACTGTTAAAAATACTCTAAATCTACTCAAGCTACTTTACCGTTGGAACGCAGAGTAATATACGTATAAGTCATTACTATCGGTACAGATGCGAATTTAACGATCGCTTAAACAGGACTACATATTTGAGTATCTGCATCAAAGCGGTATACTGCTATCACTTGACTATATATATATATATATATATATATTTATAATCTATTAATGCTCTTTTAAGTCACATTATCTTGGTAAGTTACCACTTGTGATATTTCGGGGCGCATTGTTATGATAAGTATCGCAAAAGCCAAGTATATTGTTCTTATAAGCACGTGTTGAATTCCTATTGCAAAAACCTTACTGCATGGTCTGCCTCTTTAATATATCAAACTGATTTAAAATATAGACCTAAATTTCGTTTCGATTGTTTTAGAATTTCGAATCAGCAAAATTTAAACTATTATCTTACGAAACGAAATATGGTCTTTTCTTCAATTTGACTGAAAGCTATATACAACGCTTTTTAACCGCATGAAACTTTTACTAAACGACATATAAACCTAATACGAAGTGGATGGGATTTTTACTGCATGGCGATGTATTATTAACAGATTAAGGCAGGTGGCATGACACAGGTAAAGTACTTATATCCTTTACTAACTTACAAATAATATAGCTTATAGTCTATGATAGTCATTTCTAGTAATGTTAAAGTTGCAATTTCACATTTTTAAGTTATATTTTTATAATGTATAAAAATAAAGCCTTAAAATAGATGGTATTGTTAAAGAATAATCCTATTAATCCTATAATTCACTATTGCCAGTTGAGAAATTGGCAAAAATATCATTTTCAACTTCAAATTCAAACGTTTGAAGATAGCTATTCCATGTGGGAAATAGAAAAACAAGGGAGGTAATTGTGTTATTATTTCCGGGATCAAGGATTTATCAGTAAGAGAATGATACATGTGATCGTATAATAGTAAGTTGACAACCTATTGAGCAAAAGACATAGAAATAATTATGTTTTGACTTTCTTAGAAAATATGAAATTCTCGCTTTAATCCTTTGCCAACAACACTGTTGGGAAAAGCCTAGCTCAAAACCCGCCGTATGAGCTACTACGGACAGTCTATGGTGGAAATTTTAGTAAACCCGTGCCTGAGACTTACGCGTCAATTGCGTGCATTCGGCACCGTAGAAGATCGCAAACTTGCCGTAGAAAAGTTTGGTCCTACACATACAAAATTTTGACCCTGCGAGCTACCAAACCATACCACCCGTGCTTCTCAAAACACGTACGGTCTAGAGGGAGCTAGGCTAAAGCTTTAACTCTAAAACGAATATCAGGCCAAATAGGCATCTATTCCGTTCAGTGTTTACACAGATAGGTTGAACTGAAAATTACTCATCGGTCGCTATTTTGATTTGTTTTCTTAATCTGGTACTTTTTTTTAGCGTGGATTAAGCACTGACAAATTTGATATCGTCTTAAAAATGCAATTGTCACCCCTTTTCATTTCATTGTGTTTCTCTTGAATAAATTTTCTCCCCTTTCATTTTTTTTCAGCGGATATTTCTGATGTAGAACGAGAATGGAAACTGCAATTTGACCAATGGAAAAATCATTACATCGTCGACTGGAAGAATCAATTTGATAATTTTCTTAATAATTACGAAAGACGATTACAGACATGTGGTGGAACACCTTAAATAAAACAGACTATAACACTTCAGTATCGCACCTTTTCACACGCACGAAAAAAAAAAAATCATTTTTTTTAAAAAATGGTATTTCATCGTATTAACTACGTAATAACATGTATTTGTACATATAGTCAGTTTCATAATTGTTAATAATCCACCAAGCACTTCATAAAATTTCCATAATTGGCATATAGTTATTTGAATACGAGTAATACTCCATTTTGTTTATGCTAGGTTCCCACTGTCGTGCGATGCGTTACCATAGGATTGTCCCTATTGAGTCCATGATCTGGGGCTGGTTGTTCAAAGCTCTGTTGGGGGGGTTGGATGGCTGAATGGTTAGCGTGCGCGCGCTGTATCATAAAGTCTGTCATTGAGTCGACTGGTGTGGTTTCGAATCCCCGGTTGTACGTGGCAAGGAGTAGGGTCGCCTGTCCAACCTCGTGGGTTTTCTCCGGGGCCTCCGGTTTCCTCCCACTGCTAAAGACCCCTACGCGCAAGCGAATTATGTAAATAAATTTTTTAAAAAAACATATGTTAGTCCCGAAATGACCTAGTTTGTGTCGAGTGGACGTTAAACCCCATTTCTCTCTCTCTCTCAAAGCTCTGTTAACTTTTAGCATCTCGTTAACATGGAGTTAATGAGTCGTTATCTTTAACACAGAGATGGTCTGTTGCTGGAAGCCCCGTTAACTTTAACAAGTCGTTAACATGGCGTTATATTTAACGGATGTGTTGGGCTCCGTTATCTGTTTAACCATGGCATTAGTCGGCTGTCCGCCGAAGTATACCCTTAGCAAAAAGTCATAGATTACCAGTATAATTTTCTAAGAACATTCTAGAGGGTTGGGCGATGGGTGGCTGAGGGCATGTAGGAAATACTGACCCCAAATATTCTACAGTTTTTGTAGTGCAAATCCCATAATTTTTCATACAGATTTATGCTAAAATTTCTTAAGGAAAAAATAAAGTATTCTATAGTTTTTTTTTATAGTTGTCCCACTGTCTTCAGTTTCTTGTTAATAATAACTTCATTAAAGTTGTTATACATATACATAGAATTTAAAAATTTAAAACTCAGCCAATGAACAAACAGTCTTCTCTTGGATTAACTTTAATCAGTCCGTTAGCTAAGGGATAATGAAATTGACTTTCTAGCAACAGAAATTTAACGGACCGTTAACAAACGACACGTTAGCAAGATGATGATCCGTTCGAGTTTAACGGATTGTTAAAATAACTTCGTTTTGAGCAACTGGTCCCTGGTAGGTGAAGATATGTTCGGACACCTTTCGATATGATCAACACTACTTCCACGACGGGCCCCAAAAGATCTGATAAGATCACCACGATTAGTGAACGATTAAAAACAGGATTTCAATCGTAGCGCGAATCGTGATAATGGGAACCTAGCCTTAGTTTAGCTGATTGGTTGTATGGATGGTTGGACCAAGGACAAGTCCCGGAGTGGCAAGAGTTTTTTTCAAATGATGGGATTGGAAATACGGACAGGAACTTACTAATAACTGGATTCACAAAACTAAAGACAGCGAAAGTAGATTGGAGTTGAAGGGCGGGAAAATATTTCCGATTGAGAAATTGCCAAGCAAAACGTAGGTCGCGAGAAAGGAAGGGATTCAGGGAGTTCTTTGGACGAGTTAATGCTAGAGATGCTTATAAGTTGGTCAATCGCCACTTATTGGGGTTGGGGTCATAGGTATACTGTGCAGCGCCCCGGGGTACGAATTCCAACAAGCCCAGTATATCATGTATAAACACGGACAACTTATAGGGGTTTATTTTGGGGCATTATTAAAGATGCTTTATGTAAGATTTAGATAAAAAAAAAACCTGGTCGTTCTTGCTGTAATAGTTCAAAACTAGATAATGAAACATGAATACCGGTTTATTAAAAATGTCATTGATGTTACGTCATTCTGAGCAAAGGTATCAGTGTTTGAAGTTTTGACAAGATGTAACATAGATCTTTTATTATGGTAGCAACACTACTTAACAATCAAGACTAAGCCTCGGTTCACCATTTTTAAATTAAATTATTTTAAAATAACGACCTTGTTTCAATCCATTTAAATCTCGGTCATCCGATTTCCTAGAGGAGTTGATTATAGGATTGGCGTATGAATAAGCGTCTAAATAATAGTTTATATAACATTTGAAGCCAACATAAAGACCAGCAGGAAGGTTTAGCCCTTACATAATGCAGTTTTAACTGTTTTTCGCACAAATGTTTGTATTCACAACATACCATTTGTTGTATTTTTTATGTTGGATCGCCTTTTTTCGTAATATTACACATATATTTTACATCGCATTGTAATTTGTTAAGAATGTATGCATGATTTAAGGCATGACTAAGTCGCTTTTAAAAGGGCTAAATTCTTCTTTTCAGATTTTGTTGTATCGACATTTCATCCAATGCTTGCGATATTAACACCCGGTCGCACACCTTACGTTCGGGCGAAATGTCAGATATTTTACTATAGGCTGCGGACTTATTGATAGTCAGTTTACTTCCAATGTAACCCTCAAAGCCATATAAATGTTGTTTTTTTTCGGTACTACGGGTACCAGTAAGGTTTCTGAATTATTTTGCAACATTTTGCTACTTTTATTGTCTGTTATGTCCATTGTGACTGAAACAGCCGCGGCGTAACCCTCGCGAAAATTATTGTAAACTACGTGTTAGTCAAAATCTATAGGAATGACGTCATTTCTATGACGCGACAAATACATGCAGTTGTCCCATGTTCTTGTGGTCATTTTCGCGAGTTTTACCCGACTGTGGGGTCGGGTTTTGGAGTTTACATCATACAGGGAGTAATCCTTAACAGGCATTTAGTAATTGGATACAGGGAGTACTTATGCTTCACTATAATATTAGATGGAATGATCAGTAGCAATTAGAGCCTTGTTTATTTTATATATTATGTGACTTCACCACAACTCTTTTAAGAGCCAAGCGGGATTTGAATGGCCTATAAGTGGTCTGGAGTGCCGCGCTTCGAGCTCTAGCTGGAATGGAGATAGGGGCGCCTTCACAACCTCGTGGGTTTACTCCGGGTACTCCGGTTTCCTCCCACAGGAAAGACCCCTGCGCATGCACTAAGATAATAAAATGAAAAAAAGACAACTTGTCTGCGATATCACCCTCGGTGGAAGCGGACGTTAAACACTAAGAACAACAACGGGGTACTCATTGGGCGCTACCCTGCAAAAGGCATTGTGTCTTCACCCAAAGGAAAGGCGTCCTACTCGATCTCGCGTCTCCTACCTGTGCTAGACTAAGCCTATTATTTGGCTCCTACGCCTTTTAGCGAGGCATGCGCTGTATTGGCGTAATAGCTGGTGGCTTGGACGCGACCGATTTGGGGCGGGGGGGGGGGGGGGTAGGTTTTTAAATGATCAGGACACATTTTGGGGGAATCTTAAGACATTTCAGGCTCAGTTTTAACCTTTTGAACCTGAAATAGATTAAAATTGTTTATATTGTTGTACTGTTTGTATATGTATATATATATGTAGAGAAATATTATTTTTAGAATAGAAGTATTATGTAGGTTTCCTTCATCGATCTTGATTCATACAAGTTTCAATAAATATTTACTTTTTATATATTTTCATGACTTACTCTTTCATTACCTATACTTTCTCTACAACACTTTATACCACTTTTAGGTTGAGTTCACTTAGTTATTGGTGGCCACGGCGGCTCATTGAGGATTGCACTGGCATACCAACAAGGCGGTCACATGTCCTGTTCGTCGGAATTTTTAACCTGGGTTCCCCTAGAGATATACTGTGATGTGTTTGTTGGGGTTTTTTTGGGTTTTTTTTTTTAGCTACGATTGGATGCCTTTAGTTTCAGCTGGCAAACTTAATTTCTTCATTAATGAATGCAACATCTTAAAATAAGTTAATTTTATAATCAATCGTTGTTTAGAAGAAACTTTGCCAGGTGAAACTATATAGTCCCCTCTCTTATCTCGAGACACACAGGGTCGATAGACGAGGTTTCGTATCTAGGGTTCCCCTTGTCAGGAGAGTCTGTCATGGGACAGCGTATAGTCATTTAGATTGGACGACAAACCGGGGTCACGTGTACACTTTTAGAGTGCAACTAAAAGAACAGTTTGAAATGGGTGACGTGGCCAGGAACATTTTCTCTCCTACCACACTGGAAGGCGCATGTCCATCTTTATTATCCCGGTTGGTGCAGGGAGAAGTAGGACGTTAAACCCCATTTGATTTATTTCAATTCCTGTGATGTCAGAAGTGCAACCCAGTTCTCCTTTAATTAACCGAGGCACCGTATGTGATGTCAGTAGGGTAACTGTCAATACTTAAATATAGTCCGTTCTATATTATTGGCTCTTTTTACTCGGTAAACACTTTGTTTTGGCTGTTTACAGTTGACGACAGTTACCCTCACGACTGACTTGTACCTCGGATCGAGCACGCTGGAAACTAATAGACTATGAATCAACTATATAAAGAATCTACAAAGGCTGGACTTCATCTTTGAATAAATTATTCCATTTACATTTCATAAAAGTATAAAAACAGAAATGAAAAGAAAGTGTTTAACGTCCCCGTTTTCTGCTCCGTCCGGGCCCACACTTATTTTGAATTCTAGCTGGCCTTTATGTGAGCGCCCATGTGTACAAGAGACCTCTGTTTTTGGTCCCATCCGTAAGACAAGACACTGTTCTTTGTCTGGCTCGCCATCCTGCATTACTGACAGCGGGGGGAAACTAACACCGGAATATCACTTTTCTACTCCATCCGGGCTTACACTTATTTTGAATTCCAGCTGTCTTTTACGTGTGTCCCCATGTGTAAAAGGGACCTCAGGTTTTGGTCCCATCCGTAAGACCAGACACTTTGTCTTGCCGGGTTCTCCGCCCTTTTGAACCATTAAAATAGAAACGGGTTAATTGGTTTCAATGCATCAAAAACAAAAGATTTTTTGATGTTGAATTATTTAAAAACGATCAGTTGCTGTTTAAATATCCATTTTTCTTCAATATACTGAATAAAATGATGTCTCTAGGAAATTCACTTCTGACGTAGGATATGTCTACAGAATACATCCTACCTCTCTCCATATGCTAAAACAATCAAAATGGCTAATTAACGACTCTATTTTCTACTATAATTCTCCAAGGGAGGTTAAAACGGTCCTAAACGGAATAGCACAAACGCCAGAAAAGACGTTTTTGCGTCATAAAATACGCTCTAATTAAGCTGTTTAACAGGATAAATGCATAAAAAGATAATTGCATGGATATAATTAATAGTAGAAAGAGATTCGCGCGTCATCCTTAACAATAGAAAGACGAATAAAACTAATTCAAGATGGAGGGAACATTTAAAAACAGACAATTTACGACTTTGCTAAGTAGAAGAATTTACGTCAATAATAAGAATGGTTTACGTTAGAGAAGTGATGATGGTACTACTTTTGGTTCGCACCAAGCAGGAGTAAAGCACTATGTGTAAATACGTTCGTGAACTGGAAATAGCAAGTGCAGGAGGACCGCACCACACATCACAATTAACTAAAACCCGAAAGACATTCACGCGGACTAGACAATTACCTGTAGTAAACTCTTCGTCTAATTCTATCGGAGGTTCTTTTACATGCCCCCAACCTGAACATTGGGCGTCGCTTTTACGTGTACCTCAATCTGAACATCGGCGGCCGTCGCTTTTACGTGTACCCCAATCTGAACATCGGCGGCTGTCGATTTTACGTGTACACCAACCTGAATATCGGCGGCCGTCGATTTTACGTCTACCCCAACTCGAACATCGGCGGCCGTCGATTTTACGTGTACATCAACCTCAACATCGGCGGGCATCGATTTTTCGTCCCATCCGAATGACTACTGAACACATTATTTGACACATTTTTTGGACAATAATTTTCACGGTTTAATCCACGCCAGAACGTTTCAATTTGATTATTTTAATTATCCCGGTTAAGGCAGCAAAGTAAGACTTAAACCCGCATTTAGTTGTTTAACGTTATTTTTTGATAGATCACCGATTTATTATATTATAACTACCTGCTCATGTATGTTTACACGAGACGGGTTAAGCCAGTGGATGATATGTGTACACGGGAAAGCTATTTTCAGAAAATTCTGCTTTTACAAAATAAAAAGAAAACATATCAACAGTTGTAACTCGGTGTCAGAAGTAAACGAGCGCTGTAAACATCCACAAACGCTTGGCTCGCGGCCATTTTAATTTGATGTGAAACCGTTACGGCTGGTTAAGACATCTTGCATTTGCATCTGCACGTTTATGGTTTTGTACTATGGATGTATTGAGTTGTTTAGTTTTACTGCAAGTTCGATCCGTTAGCTTACTTTGTTGAGGAATAAACACACATGTAATAAAGGCACTGACTTCCTCCAGAGAATGTTGAAAGAGAAGATCTGGGTCTTTCGTAGCCATTGCAGAAACAAAAAAATGGCAAGACATTCATTTAGTTCATATTACATTGATAAAAGCCTCGTATACATGGGCGAACCATTACATTTCCTGAGAAACTAATACCGCCGGGCAGAACAGTTCCATCACGAATTTGAATCCTACGAGTAATTAAAGGGTATCTAAATGTATTCCACTATATCAGTAAAAGTTGGTGAGTTTCATAGTAATACCATATATAAAATACCTCGGTTGTATTAGTTACCCCAGATTGACAAAATTATGATCAAACGATATAAAGTTAGGATCAAACGATATAAAATTAGGTTCAAACGATATAAAGCTGTGATCAAACGATATAAAGTTAAGATCAAACGATATAAAGTAAGGATCAAACGATGGGGTCTAGAGTGATAAAGTTAGAATCATAAGCTAAGATTTGGATTGATAAAGTTGGGATCATGTGATAAGATCTAGCGTGTGATAAATTAAGGATCCAATGATGAGATTAGATTGATAAAGTAAGGATCAAATGAAGAGATCTGGAGTTAAACAGTTGGGGTCTAGAGTGTTAAAGTTAGGATTCAATGATGGGATCTAGATTGATAAGGTAAGGATCCAATGAAGAGATCTGGAGTTTTACAGATAGGATCAAAAAATGATGGGATCTAGAGTGATGAAGTTAGGATCAATGGGATCTAGATTGATAAGTAAGGATCCAATGATGTGATCTAGAGTTAAACAGTTTGATCGAACGATGGGATCTAGAGAGATAGAGTTAGAATCCAATAATAAGATCTAGATTGATAAAGTTAGGATCAATACATAGGATCTGAAAGCTATAAAGTTAGGACGAATACTGATATCTAGATTGAAAAGGATATGACAGACCTAGAATGATAAACCTTTGATCCAATGATCAATCGGCATTTCTCGTTAAATTTCGGGAATCTCCTACGCAATTGAATTTATATTCGGTCATTATACAGGCGGAAGATTTAACCCAATTAGAGACACGAAAGCTGCGACGCCCCTAAAAACTGTTGGTACTTTGGACATTTGTAGTGCTAGATATGCGAACAATAGGATCAGTTTGGTATGCAGTCATCAGGGTATCTCTGAATACGAACATATAAATAAGATTTTTGGGAATAACATTCGTCTCGCGGAGTGCTGACTGCTACCCCCTCCCCCCTCCTCTACCCGCGTGACAAAGGTGAAATGTTGGGCGGGGGCAAATGTGCTTCCAGTGTACGTACTTCAAATAGAAGTACCCAACAAACCTTAAAATGCACTATGTGTTCATTACATATAGCAATTTCAAAACAATTATCACTTCAAGGACATGAAAACACGTGTAAGAAAACCGTATACAAATATTTAATTATCATTACATATTTTACTAGTAAAAAAAACACTGTTTCTAACATCAAGAGTACAGTTTTCTAATAAATAACGAACTGCCATTGAGTGCGAAAAAACTGAATACAACATGATAATAATACATTTATATGTTTGTTTATTTTCGATACACTTGGATACCGTAATTTGAGAACTTCTTGCATTATCCTCTCTGTCTTTTAGTTTAACATTTAACATCATACTAAACTTACGATGTCTGTTTACAATTAGATCCGCTTGAGAAAATAGTTCTGTGTGCAGAATGGGCCAAATCTATTTGTTAAGGCCAGATCAATTTTTGTCAAGGTCGTTGAGATGTAAATAAGGTTAAGGCACGTGATTGTTGGCGGGATTGTAGGTTAGGCTTAGTGTAAGCATTGGGGCTAGGGTTAGGGTTAGGGTTGGGATTAGCACTAGCCCTGTTTACATCTTCTGACCTATGACGAAAAATTGAACTGGCCTTATCATTTAGCACTATCTGTGCAGAATGATTTACAGGGCATTTCTAAAACACCCTGGCATAGGGGGTCCCAGTGAGATTGTCTCCCTCTGGACACGGGAAAACTTGAATTTCGGCAAACTATAATGGATATGTGGTATGTGTAACAAGTGTAGCGTTTACTTTTCTTTTCTCCTCTCAAATCATACTAAACTTAGGCTGTCATTCTACAATAAACTCCGCTTGATAACAGACACTAAGCTAGTTGACCGACATTTTAAGTGCTAAATCGCCAATTTTAGTGGAAAACACTAAGTATATTTAGAGAATTGTGAGT